GAAAGACCAGAATATACCACCACAGTACTGATGATGTTGATGTCTGGGCATTTTCTACAGGCTAACAAATAGTATTTTCCAATGACTTCTCTTACCTAAAATTTACTGTTTTAAGATCACACTAATCCACTCAACAAGTTTCAACTAAAGGAAATAATTCATAGACCTTTCCACGAGCCATCAAGAAACTTGTATCAAACAAAATACAGTTGCACGTTATTAAAGGAGAAAAATAAGCAGCCTGCTTTTCAAGATTACATTTATACATATTTTAAGATATGCTACTAAACACATAATGTTTATTGCAGCATAATGACCTGCATAGAGACAGTGCCAGGATAAGTGAAAACTAGAAGAGTACCTCAATGAGGAAAAACAATTAAACATGAGCAAAGGACATGCTGAAATATTATATATATATTCTATGTGCAAACTTGCTGGAAGAAACATAGAGGAACCTGCATGCTTCAGTCAGTATCTTAGAGTTTTCTAAGAAGTGCTGAGAGTAATGAAGACCATGTCTGCTAAAGAACAAGGAAAATTTGAAGATACTGCACCAAGTGTTCAAGGTTATGAGGGACAGGAAATTCTCTGTCTCCCTGGAAGGAAACAAAAAAGAAGTTCAGGGACCCCGGTGTACCCAAGAAACCTTTCCCCTCATCTAATTGTATTGTGGCTGAGCAGCACAAAAAACAAAAGGAGAACATCCTGCCTGATTTACTGGTGAAGCTGCAAAGAAACTGGGAAGGATATGGAACTCACTGCTGCAGGTGACACCCAGCCTTTAGGAAAGAAGGCTACTAAGTCAAAAACGAGGCAAAGGATGCTGCTGCCTACAGAGCTAATGGAGAATCTGATGCAGCAAAAATGAGTTGTCAAGAATGAAAAGATCAGAAAGAAAGAGGAAGGAGATAAAGACAAAAAAGATCAAGATGATAATGAAGAAGCTGTAACCAGGTTTTTTAAATATGTACATTAATCCTGTATACAATTCATTTCTTTTAAAGATAATAACTGAAATGTAAAGCTGTGGAAGGTTTGCTTTTAAAGTTTACAACGTATAGTAAACATAACCCAACGTGTCTTTAGCTGTAACCCAGTCATGATTGCATTCCTAATAACCACTAGCCTTTACAACACAGAAGTTGTAAACTGCCATTGCACATATAAAGTCGATTCTTAGTGATGCACATTTTATGGGGATAGTAGTTTTTTCACCTCCCATCTCTGATGCAGTATAAACAAATGCTATTAATCCATTAGGTTTCAAATCCTTAACAAATAGGGGCCATACTTCAATTTTCTCCATACATTTCATGATCCATTTGAGTTTTCACTATTGTGAGAACTAATGCTTTACTAGCTTTGTCAAAGTCAAAGGAGAAAGAAAACTGCCTTTACAATTTCAAGCAATGCTGGTAAGCCTTTGTAAAACCTCTCCTAATAAATATTGTCTATCTGAATGTTGTAAATGCCATGAATCATGGTGCTAACTCTATGAGAACACAATTAATTGTAAGGTACTGAAAGCCCAACAAGAATAGTGTTGTATGATCTACTTCACATTAGCCTTACCAGATGATAAGGCAAGAGCACAGCAGCTATTACCAGAATGAGCAAAATTATCATTTGTCAAAAGGAAGGGAGGAGAAGGACTAGAGGAGAGAAGAGGAGAAGTAACATCCTACGATGGTACTCACATCTGTAATCCTAGTAGAAGAGGAGGATTAGAGGAGAAGAGAAGTAACACCCTACGATGGTACTCACATCTGTAATCTTAGTAGAAGAGGAGGATTAGAGGAGAGAGGAGGAGAAGAGAAGTAACACCTACGATGGTACTCACGTCTGTAATCTTAGTAGAAGAGGAGGATTAGAGGAGAGAGGAGGAGAAGAGAAGTAACACCCTACGATGGTACTCACATCTGTAATCTAGATAGAAGAGGAGGATTAGAGGAGGAGAAGAAGAGAAGTAACACCTACGATGGTACTCACATCTGTAATCTTAGTAGAAGAGGAGGATTAGAGGAGGAGGAGAAGAAAAGTAACACCTATGATGGTACTCACATCTGTAAATTAGTAGAAGAGGAGGATTAGAGGAGGAGGAGAAGAGAAGTAACACCTATGATGGTACTCACATCTGTAAATTAGTAGAAGAGGAGGATTAGAGGAGAGAGGAGGAGAAGAGAAGTAACACCTACGATGGTTCTCACATCTGTAATCTTAGTAGAACAAAATCACAGAAAGAATTCTGGAAGCTCGGAAGACAACACGTAATGAAATTCTAGGAAAATTTAAAGTTGTGAATAAAGCGGGACTCAGATGCTTACATTAACCAGAATTTGAAATCTTCATACTAAAATGTAAGCTGTGGAAGCTTAAATTTGTAACAAATAAAATGAACTGTTTTACTTATAGAATGTTAAGAGATGCAGAGATGTAAAAGGAAAAAAAATATAGTGAATATATTGTTTTGTTTTTCACATTATTTGTGTGTGACAGAGAGAAAGAGAGACAGAGACAGAGACAGTAAGAGAGACAGCAGTCATGCACAAAGGACAACTTATAGGAGTTCCTTTCTTCCATCACATGGGTCCTGGAGATCAAACAGAGCTCGTCAGACTTGGTGGCAAGTGCTCTTATCCAGTCATCTGGCAGGGCCAGTAAAAATGTTTGGACAGATTTAAGTTATACAACAGCTAGATATCCAAAACAATGATTTCAAGGAAGTCATTTTAAATTCATAGTACACCTGTTATAATACAGCACGAGGTGGGACCAAATTGGGCAAGGGACATAAGGAGGGTGAGAAACAGAGACCTACAGACAGAACTTATATAGAAAGTTTATTGGTTGAAGATAAGGGAATAAGGAGAGAAGAGAAAAAGAGGCAGAGACAGAGACAGATAAAGCTGCCTCCTTAGAGAGACAGTGGGTGAGGTTCTTCTCTTAAAAGAAACCTCCATGCCTGTGTACAGAGCTTGCCATGGGCAGGGGCACTGTGCCAGGCTCCCACGGGACAAGGCCAGACAATGCCTGTAACCACTTCTGCATCATTAAAAATAATAGAATCTATGGCCACATGACTCAGGGTTGGGGTAAGGGTTCTGGGTGAGGACTGGGAGAGTTATTGGTGGCAATAACCAATGTTTTCCCATGAAGAAGGGTGTCTTGACCCACAGCACAGTGTGCTTATTGGATAAGGGACATTCTATTACAGAGCAAGGACATATTGTAGATGCTGAACTGATATTCCTGAAGTGATACTACCATTCCTTGGTGGTTGAGGTCCCAAAAAAAAACAAGTTGGATATGAAAACTGTTGAATCTTTCAAAGATGGCATCGCCAATTTGTTGTCAGGCAGCCATTAAAAAAAAAATCTAAGAAGCCCAGGACCACAGCCCCCAAGATTCAGGGTTTTGTTATCCAAGTTCCATGCAGCACAAATGTGAACATATGCCTCTGAAGAAACAACACACTAAGAAAGGAAGAGGAGGCTGCAGAATGTGCTAAATTTTTGGTCAAGAGAATGAAAGAAGCCAGGAACAGATTGTTAAGAGATGTAGGCTGTCCTTCACAAGAGCTTCTACTTCTAAGTCTCAGTCCAGTCAAAAGTAAAGAGTCTTGGGGCTGGAGAGGTGGCTCAGCAGTTAAGAAAACTGGCTCTTAACCTGGAAGACCCAGGTTCGATTCCTAGCATAGCAGCTAACAACTATCTGTATCTCCAGTTCCTGCTTCTGGCAACTGTGGACATTGTGTGAATGCACAGAATTACATGTAGGCAAAACACCCACGCACATAAAATAAGTAATAAAAATTTAAGTGTTATTAAGAGTAACAAATAAATGGTCAAGCCTTTAAAAAAGTCATCTATCCACATAACTAACTGTATTTTTAAATGGAGCACAAGCATTATTTTAAATGGTTTTTTCTAATAGTCTTATTATTGTGTATATGTGTCTGTCCATGTGGAAGCCACATGACAAGCTTGGGTGTTCTCCTCAAGAAGGCAATTCATTTACTTTGAGGGAAGAGTCTCTCACTGGTCTGGAACTCACCTATCAGGCTACACTAGTTGGCCAGCAGAGCAGAGATCCTTCAGTCTCCTGTTCCCTCCCACTGGAATTAAAAGCACACACCACTATATACTAAGTATTTAAAGTGGATTCTGTGGATTGAATTCAAGTCCTCATGTTTACTGACTGAGCTATCTTCCTACCCCATATTCTTAATGTCTTTGTTGTTGTTGTTGTTGTTTTGGTTTTTATTAAGGACAAGCTCTCTCTACATAGCCCTGGTTGTCCTGAAACTCAGTATGTAGACAAGGCTGGCCTTGAACTCACAGAGCTCCACCTTCCTCTGCCCCCAGAGTGCTGGGATTAAAGGTGTCAACAACCACATTCAGCTACTGATGTGTATTGTAAAACTTTAGAAAGAGTCTCAAGGTCAAATTATTGGTCAAACACTTAAAAAAGGAGCAGTAATACTTCATTTATTCTACTTCCCAGAACTGTAGCCAAGTATAAAACTGAGTATTTGACTTTTAAAATATAATTCTTATGAAGTACAGTAAGAAATGCTGCATAATAAATATGTTAATGTTACAGTATCTGAAAACCAAGGATTTATTGTAAAGCTTTAAAAATTAAAAATAAATGAAAAGGTTTATAGTTAAATAACTAGAACTAGTTACTACCTTACTTGATGAAAGCTCCATTTGTGATTCTTGAATCATTTAAAAGATATCAGAGTATACCTGAATTTATATTAATATATGTAAAGTACTCCCTAACCCTGTTACATTAAAAGTGTAATCCAGGTCCAAAAAGAAAAGATAAGCAATCTGGCTAATTATCAACCTCACTTCTGTTAGGCTAAACAACAGATCATGTAGCAGGCCTTTTCTAGGTTAGCAACTTGATACTAATAGATACCAAATTTTGCTATAAAAGGAAAATAAATTAGTAATTAAAAATAAGCCAAATGTAACAAATATACTTACTCCTTTTGTAAAGCCATGCACAATGGGGAACTGAACCCAAAGACCAAGCACATCTGTGCATCTGGGGTATAACCATTCTGCAGTAATATTTCCAAGCATTCTTCCCGTCCTCCAAACACTGCTGAGTAAACAGGACTCACTTTGTCTGGTCCAGTGTCACAAGTCCGGTCAGTAAGTGGTATTAACAAGTCCAAGATCCTTCAAATACACAAATGGGAGGAATATTTAATAGTAAATAAATGTTTTCCTTGTTCACTATTATTTGCCTTACCGTCACCATGACCTATGCTCCCAAATCCAATTTCATGTTAGATATTTCAGGACCTAGGAAATTATTTAAATACTTATTACATTAAATATAAACTGAACGAGAAATGAGGGGCTAGGGATATTGCCCAGAGATAGAGTGTTTGCCTACTATGCTTGAGGCCCTGGGTTCAATTCCCAGCACTAGAGAATGTATACTGACCAGTTGTGGTAGCACATACCTAAGCTGTCAGAGGCTGAAGCAGGATAGCCATGAGTTCAAGGCCTACCACAGATGCAAAACAAATTCTAGGAGCCACTACCTAGCATGGCTCTGTTTCACAAACAAACAAATAATAACAAAAAATAAAATGAAGTATTTTCCTTCTTAAACACTAATTAGTTTTTTAAGAGTTTTTAAAGATGGTGAGTGACAATGAAATGAGAAATTACATTTTCAATCAGAAGAATTTAAATCTGTAGTAAAATACTGCATTCTCATAAAAAATGTAATCATTAACATCTGAGGTATATTTATAAAGAAGTGGCTGCTTTTCCTTCCATAAAACAGACCTAAAATAACACGGGAGAACAACTAAAACCACAGATGGATTATCTTTGCATCAGGCTATGGAAGAAATCAGTGGCAACAGAATTCTCAAAATTGAACACAACTAAGGACACATTTCTTTGGGAGTTTTGGTATCAATTTAAAGCTAGGTATAACTGTTTAGAAGATTTTTCTAAACAAATAATCAACAATTAGAGGAAACTGATTCAAATTTTTTTATTTTTTTGTACAAGAGACAAAATTGGGTGTGGACCTGGGAAAAGCTGGAGAAGAAACGTGAATGTGTTTAAAACATCTATGAAAGCTTCAAAGAACTAATAATAATTTTAAAGAGCAAGTAGAAGAAACATCAAATGTAGAAACCAAATATTTTATTTAAAGAATGTGCGTGACACCTCTTAAATATAATAAATGTGTCTAAGTTTTAAAGATGAGCTAGAAAAACTATACTGTCAAAACACTTACAATGATCTTTGAAGACACATGCTACCTAGCAACAAAATAGCCAGCTTGAAGACTCCATTATCCTATTGTCCAAACATAATTAACAACACTAATGATATATCTAGAAAGTACTATTGTAGAATTATGACCCTAAAGACTGCAAACATGGTTTTTAAATCTGTCCACAGTGATTTATAGAGGGAAGCCTTATTCTCATTGACATAACCATGCCACTAACTATAGAATTCTCATACTCCCCATATACTCTCTCCAAAGTATACCAGTAATTCCCTATGTACTTCTAAGAAAGAGTAACAAAAGCACTCGGAGATAATACCAGACTGGGGGTGAGATTAGGTAACAAGTCTAATAAAGGGGTGAGGATGGAATGAACTACTCATCACACACAAAAGGAAGAAAGGGAGATAGTGCAAATTAGTGAGTAAGCCCATCACACTGCTTGTTGAAGATGCTTGGGATAAAAGATAAAACTAGGAGGAAAAGGAAAGGATGGCCATTAGCTGAAGAAATCCTGAGAAAACTCTGGTACCTACCCCATCTCTAGCCATTCTTCCTCAAAGGGGAAATGGAAAATTTAGAGGAGCAAAGGACATGAAAACAGCATGGGGGAGATGAGGTGTAAATTTAGGCATTCCACAAATTGGTTACAGAAAGGATTTTACTGGAGGTAAAGGGTGTGGCTCAGATCTACCCTTTATTTACTTTTCCTTCTGAAACCATTTTTATTCTATATTGAGCACTTACTTTGTATGGCCCATTTGTGCAGCGGCATGAATAGGCAATTGCCAATTGTCTTCATTACAGTAAAGATCAGGATCTGCCCCACTGGACAGCAAAAGTTCCACACACTCTATATGACCCTCTTGTGCGGCAATAAACAAGGGAGTAGCTTTGTCCAAGGCTTGACAATTGATATTTGCACCTAACACAAAACAAAACATTTAACCAATAATCCTCATAAGTGTTTTAAAAAACAAACTCGATAACATAAATTTCAAACTGCCATAAAGGCTTTCATAGTACAGCAGCTTTCACCCTTAGTGGATGCTGCTGGGGAAAATATACTTATTTTACTAACCTGTTGACAATCACTTAAATCATTTTTGTTCTCCATCATTAAGAACACAAATGATCACATTTTAGAATTCATTTTTAGACAAAAAAAATCATATTCAATGAAGGCTACCTATTCCAATTCCTCTTCCAACAAGCAAATATTTTTTAAAGATTTATTTCAGTGCATTCATGGTGTGTGTATGTGTGTGTGTGTGTGTGTGTGTGTGTGTGTGTGTGTGTGTGTGTGTGTGTGTATACACACATCAGTCCATTTTCGTGCATGTGCTTGCAAGTATCCATGAAGGCCAGAAGGGGGCGTCAGATCCCTTTGGAACTGGAGTTCATAAATAGTCTATCTAACATGAGTGCTGGATCTAACTTCCACCCTTCTGCAAGGGCAGCAGTGCTCTTAGCCACTGAGCCATCTCTCAAGACCCAAAGTATAAATGTTTTAGGAGGAAAAAAAGCTAGAAGTGGTAATAAAGGCCTATAATTCGAGCTCTTGGAATGTGATAAAAAAGACTTTTGAGTTTGAGCCTAACCTGTCTTCAAAAAAAAAAAATGAAGAAATATAAATAACATTGATGATAATTCCCTGAAAAGCATAAGTTACGACATTTTAGACTCCGATTTAAGAGGGAAGTTACCAGTAGATAGGACTGACATACATGGAATCTATAACTAAAAACTATATTGACCAGTCTTACTATTCTCCCTTTATGAGCATTGCATAGTAAAATAAACAATAAACAGGAACAATGTTTTTTAATATACCTGAGTAGATTCTAAAATAAAAACCCTGCTATTATAATACTATTATACACAGTTTTGAAAAGTCAGCCAGACATGGTGGCACATGCCTTTAATCCCAGTGCTTGGGAGGCAGAGGCAGGTAGTTCTCTGTTAATTAAAGGTCAGTTTGAGCTGGGCAGTGGTGGTGCATGTCATTAATTTCAGCACTTGAGAGGCAGAGGCAAACAATCTTTGTGAGCTCCAGACCAGCCAGGACAACACATAGAAACCCTGTCTTGAAAAAAACAAACAAACAAACAAAAGGTCAGCTTGGTCAACATAGTGAGTTTCAGTATAGCCAAAACTATATGGTGAGATCTTGTTTCCATAAGTAAAAAATACACAAACAAAAAGATTTGAGAGGTTGCAAAAGAGTTTACTTCTTGTGAAACTTTGGAAAACTAGCAGATTTCCCGAATCTTATCATCAGCAAACAACATAGTAAATCTGTTAAGACTTATGCTATCATATGATAGTGCTAATTTTTAAATTTCTCAAATACATCTCAGTATAAATACCATGAGACATCAGGGAAAATTTACTATCTTTTATTCAACATAATCTTACATAAGTAAATCTTGAACAAGCTACATGGGGTAAATTAAAGATGGTGTGGAACCTTCATGAGGTGCAATTGCAAACATGCTAGGCAACTAGAATCATCTAGACTTCAGTGCCTCTTCTGGGGTCAGCTTCAGAGACATAAACACAATCACTGAGAAAAGAGAGTCAACAGTAAGACCTGCTTTTTTCAAAAATCAACCTTCTAGTTTGAGTGACAACTTCAAAGTATCAGAAATAATAAGGAATCAGTTCCTCTAAGACTACAATTGAGGGCCGAGCGTTGGTGGTACACGCCTTTAATCCCAGCACTCAGGAGGCAGAGGCAGGCGGATCTCTGTCGAGGCCAGCCTGGCCTACAAAGTGAGTTCCAGGACAGCATCCAAAACAATACAAAGCAACTCTGTCTCGAAAAACCAAAAAAAAAAAAAAAAGACTACAATTGAAAATTTTAAAAAATAACAGACACTGGAGTCATTATTAGAAGTGAGTTACATAGTTATATTATAAACAGATCTTCATACCTTTTAATTATATAAAAATTATGATTTATTAAGTTTAGAGAGAAGAAAAATTAAAAACAAAGGTATAGGCATAAACATGCTCTAACTGTGCCACAAAATATTACTTTCTAGGTCTCTGGCCATCACTTAACACCCAGAGTCTGACATTCTTAACATTAAAATGCATCATTTCAAGAAGTAATTCAGGAATCCTCATCTTTAAGATATACGTTCATAATTTCTCAGACACCTTCACCTCGAACTTCATGAAGGTTCATTCCTTTCACTTCGAATCTTGATTTTATATAAAGATTTGTAAGAAAAAAAACAGGAATAAAAAACTATGCTGTTGTGGCATCCTGCCTTGCCAGTGAACTTGTAGCAGTGACCACACCCTTTGGGCATGCTTTCAGCTACATTCTTGACCCCTTTAAGGTAGAGTAGCGGCAGGTACATGCTCTCTTGGGCCCTGGAGAGCATCAGAAGTGCAAAGACTGCATCTTCTGGAGCTAGAAGGCCAGGTCAGTTATATACTCTTACTTGTGTAAGTTCTTCCCTAATAAAACACCTATTCATCATGAGTCTGGTGAACTCATTTAAACCCCGTCTTCACTATGCCCTGTTTTTTTGGTAAACTTTGGTGTATCTGGAGGGTTGTTTTCTTTCTGTTTTTTGAGACAGGGTCTCTCTATGTCCTACAGGTAGAACTATTCATTATGTAGACCAGTCAGCAAATACGGTGATATGTCCTTCCTCTGACTACTCCTGGTTTCTCAGCTTAGCTCTGCCAGGGCACACACCCTGAAAAGACTTTAAAGACTTCTATGGTGAATCCTTCTGGCCAAAAGATGTTACAAAATAATGTCATGTAATACCATCTTCTTTGGCAATGCTACATGTGTAAGTAGTCACAGAGAAACCTTTAGCTGGTTTATTCTGCTATTAACACAATACATGTTTTTGAATAAGCCCATTTAAATCATCAGACATTATCAAGACATAACTCTGGCCAGACCTCTGACTCACTTGGTTAAATGCTTGATGCACAAGCATGAGGCCTGGGTTCAGATCCCCAGCACTAAGGAAAAGACAGGCGAATCTGGTTATCCAGCATAGCTGAATCAGTGAGCGGCAGGCTCAATGAGAGAACCTGTCTTAAAAAAAGAAAAAAAAGTACAAAATGACTGACAAAGACACCTAATACTGAACTCTGACCATCACATTCCCATGTACATGGAGATATGCTACGCAAAACATACAACTCAAAGGCTTAATATACAAAAGGACCATGTAATAAACTAACCCTAGAGTAGGTGTGCCTGAAAAGTCACTGAACTGCAGGGAACCAGCTCAGAACCGCCATATTCCTATGCAGATCAGTGGGCAGGGTGTGTGTCATTATTGGTGACATACTTAATAAAATAACCAGGACTGACATCAACTGTATACACTTTTATTGCTACTTACATAAATTTCATCACACGATTCAGGAATCATTTCTAGGAATTGTTATAACCATGATCACCCCATAAGAAAGATTAATGGCTCTTACCAGATGAAATAAGGATGTCCAAGCTCTTGAGCTTCCCATACTGAGCAGCTACAAACAAGGGTGTGATTCCGAAATCATCCTGGCATTCTCGGTCCACTCCATGCTTAAGAAGGAGTTCTATAATCTCAGCATTTCCCTAAGTACACACATATATTTTAAGTTAGGAAACCCCTTTCTTGTGTTTTAGTTTCTTATCCTCTCAGTAAACAAAAACTTTAAGAAAAAAATGCAGTGTCTCATTTCAAAAAATAGAAAAGACATGACTAATCAGAGTACCCTACACTTCTGCATAGCCTATTAAGTATAAACATACTGGCCTCAAGCAATTTTAACCCTTAAAGTCCTATGAAGTTAGATTACTAACTCAAGCAGTAGTAAATATGTTTTCTAAACATGCAATTTCAATAAAAATATACCATCTCTCTTTACCCCACAGATTCTAATAGTTTCATAACTATGTGTCCGACATTTTAAACTTAGATAATCTCTAGAGCCCTAAGCTGCTCTGGTCACTATAGAAGCTGGCTTATTTAAAATCATCAGCAACATTTAGACTGCCTTTTCTGTGTTGTACTAATCATAAATTGCAAGCAAGTAGGAAGCAAAAACTGTCTAGGACTGTCATTTTAAAAGGGTAAGACATAATTTACATGAAAATGAAACACTAAATTCAGAGATTACCTGAAAAGAAGCCTGATGTAAGGAATTCCATCCACACATAGAATGGAACCCACTGACATCTGCTCCATGTTGAAGCAACAACTTCAGCACATCTATATGTCCACTTTCAACAGCTGAAATACAGCAGTCAGAGAGATTACAGTCAGCAAAAAGATGTCTGTGGGACTGGACATTTCTATGATGGTTCCATCATTTTATACACCTTGGAATGCACAATACTATGATGATTTCAAACATTTATCACACAACTATCTGAGGCCAATTTCGTATGCACAGGCCTTTGTGCATAAGAGGCTTAGGGCGTTGGCTCTGTGAGCCAACAAGTATGAAGACCAGAGTTCAAGTACCTAGCACCCATGTATACCTGGACTGTAATCCCAGTGATCCCACAGCTACATGGGAAACAGAGATGGATGAATCTCCAGAAGCTCAGAAGCCAGCCTGGAGTATACAGAGGTGAACAAGAGACCCTGACTCAAGCAAGGTGGGGACACCTAAGGTTCTCCTCTGTCCTCTACATTTGAACCTCCCTATACACATCTTACACATCTACATGCACAGATTTAAGATGAACTACATCCACATATATCATTTTTCAAACTACAGAAAATTGAAGGATAGAGAAAAAGAAGTCCCAGGTTGGGGAGATAGCTCAGCTGGTAAAGGCCCATATATTTTGGAGCCCAGAATTTCTATTGTCTTTTAGATGTAAGCTAATAGCTGTTGAATTCCTGGCCTTGGTAGAGAATGGCTCCTACCTAAATAACAATAGACTTGGGCCACAGCAAGTATACACCCAACCTGAAGGTTAGTGAGAGGTATTGAGGCGAAGTGCCAGAAGGCTTGAGTACTCGCTACAAAGGGGTGTCTTTAGGATTAAGGGAAATAATTGCTATCAGGTCTTTATACTAGATGTCTTCTGCCTTTAACCCCACCCTTGAATGATTACTTAAGATGATGAATCAATAAACTGGATACCTTCAATATTTACTGATTGCCCTCCTAATAAGACCAGATGTCTCTGTCTCTTCTTAACATCATTGGATAGCTAGCCTTCCCTCTATCCACACTCCCCCACTCAGGGTTGGAACCCGGGTTGTTTGGCTGATTCTGCTCACAGCCCCAAAGACATCAGTCCTCAATACCACACAAGCTTAAGGAACTAAATTTGATACCCATAACTGGAAAGATGGTTCAGTGGTTAAGAGCACAGCAGTTTTTTCAGAGGACCCAAGATCAAGTCTCAAAATCCACATATTGGCTCACAACCATCTGTAACTATAGCCACAAATTATCCTATGTCCCCTTCTGGTTTCCCCTTCTGGCACCACAAATGTGATGCACAGACATATTTAAATCCAAACAGATTTTTTAAAAGGGGGGAGGGTTGGAATAAAGAAAAACAAGACATGACAGGCAGCACTTGTTAGCACTGGAGAGTTAGAGGCAGGTAGATTCCTGAAACATACCTGAAAATGATTTCATTCACCTGGTTTTGTGATAAACAACTATAATTTAAACAAATTGTCTTCAATCAATGTCAATCATAACTGATTAGCTTAGAAACCAAATAATATGTTTATGGTAAAAATACTTCAGCAACTTAATTATTATAGTAAGGCTGAAGAAGTGTTTACTGTTTATTGGAGACATAATTAATAAAATTATACAATGTTTGGGAACTAAACTATCTTTTCCTCAACTATATGGTTACACACGCTTTTTAAACAAATGCAGTTCCGTATTTCATGTGATTCTCAATAGTAAAAATGTAACTAGGAGGCAGAGGGACCTGGAGGCAGATGAAAGCAACCGCCATCATCTCCCAGCACTGTGACCTTGCCCCTCCACCCTCCGGCAGAGAGGTGAGTCCCCAGGCCTCTTCTAGCCCAAGGCCCCCTCCTCAACTCCCCTGAACCATAACCGAAGGAACGCTCAGGCCGACGAACCCCACAGAGGGACCTGGTGTCAGAAGATGGCAGCCACCATCATCGAGCGTAATTCTGGTCTTGTCCCTCCACCTTCTGAGAGGGAGGGAGGGGGAAGGGAAAAATGGGAGGAGGGAGAAAGAGAGGAAGAGAGGGAGGAAAGGAGGGAGGGAGGAGAGGATAGAGCTTTGAACCCATACCCACCAGGAGAGGAAGAGACTCTCCCTATACCCACTGGAAGAAGAGATGGGAAGGAGACAGTATAAGAGCACATCCAACAACAGAAAAACCTATATGACACCACCAGTGTCTTGGGACTCTACACCACCAAGAAAGGACCATCCCAGTGCAGATGAAACAGAAGAGAATGACCTTAAAAACAACCTCAAGATAAAGACAGAGGCAATCAAAGACAATATGAGAAAATTCCTTAAAGAAATGGAAGAAAAAACAAACCAAATGCAAGAAATCCAGAAATCTCTTAAAGAAAGCAAGGAAAACCAAGAAAAAACAATCAAACAGATGAAGGAAACAATTCAAGCACTTCAAGACCTGAAAACTGAAATGGAGACAATAAAACACACACACACACACACACACACACACACACACACACACACACACACACACAAACTGCGGTAAGGCTGGAAATAGAAAAGCTGAATAAACAATCAAGAACTATAGATGTAAGCATAACTAACAGAATACAAGAGATGGAAGACAGAAACTCAGGCGCTGAAGATAAACCAGAGGAAATAGATTCATTGACAAAAGAAAATCTTAAATACAACAAATCCTTAACACAAACTATCCAGAAAATATGGGACACTGTGAAAAGACGAACCCTAAGAATAATAGGTATAGAAGAAGGCAAAGAAGCCAGCTCAATAGTGCAGAAAACATATTCAACAAAATCATAGAGGAAAACTTTCCCACCCTGAAGAAGGAGATGCCTATGAAAGTACAAGAAGCTTACCAAACACCAAATAGACTGAACCAAAAAATAAAAAAGTCCCCTCGCCACATAATATAATCAAAACACCAAACATACAAAATAAAGAAAGAATACTAAGAGCAGCAAAGGAAAAAGGTCAACTAACATATAAAGGGAAACCTATCAGAATTACACCTGACTTCTCCATGGAAACTCTGAAAGCCAGAAGGTCCTGGATAGATGTTCTACAAACATTAAAAGACCACAGGTTCCAGCCCAGAGTACTATTCCCAGCAAAACACTCAATCACTATGGACAGAGAAAACAAAATATTCCAAGGCAAAACCAGATTTGCACAATACGTATCCACCAATCCAGCCCTACAGAAAGTTCTAGAAGGAAAACTCCAACCGAAGGAAGTTGACTACACTCACAATAACATGGGCAATAGACAATCTTACTTTACCAGAAGCCAGAAATACTGGAAAAACTCACACACACTACCACTACCAAAACACGATCCAAATTAAACAAGAATCAACAATCAAGGGCCATTAATATCCCTGAATATCAATGGCTTAACTCACCTATAGAAATACACAGGCTAACAGAATGAACAGGAAGACAGAATCCATCCTTCTGCTGCATACAAGAAACATACCTCAGCTTCAAAGACAGATGTTACTTCAGAGTTGGGAATAGAGTTTCTGTTGGAGCCCCGGAGACCTTTAAGTTGTAGCAGAACTAAGTGGCAGTTTGAATTGAAACTATTTAAATTGAAAAGTTATTATGAACAAACTGGTCATGCATACATTGGTTCCTGGAACAGGCTAAACAAAAGGTGTTCTATAAGAAATATTTCCTTCTGTACCCGGGCCCGGTACTTTCCACTGCCCCTGTCCTCATCCCCCGCCCTGCCTAAACCGCTTTATAAAAATGAAATCTTGCTAGCTAATAAACGAAGCCTTGACGCAACTCAGACTGACTCTTTCTTTACGCGCTTGGCTTCCACTTCTCTCTCCCCCCGTTTGACTCCTACAGGTGACAACCACTCGAGACCCAGTAAATAACCTGGCCTGCTGGACGGGTCAAGTTTCCAGTCAAATGGACATAAGAAGCAAGTGGGTGTAGCTATCCTAATATCTAACAAAATAGACTTCAAACTAAAATTAATCAAAACACATGAAGAAGGTCATTTCATATTCATCATGGGAAAAATCCAACAGGATGCAAGTCTCAACTCTGAACATCTATGCCCCAAATACAAAGGCATCCACATCCATAAAAGAAACATTACTAGAACTCAAATCACACATTAAACACCACACACTTATAGTGGGAGACTTCAACACTCCACTGTCACCACTGGACAGATCCACCAGACAGAAACTTAACAAAGAAACAAAGGAAGTAACAGAGGTTATGACCCAACAGGGTTTAACAGACATCTATAGAGTAGTCCATGCAAACACAAAAGAATATATCTCCTCGGCACCACATGGAACCTTCTCTAAAATTGACCACATTCTTGGCAATAAAGCACATCTCAACAGATAAAATAAAATTAGAATAACGCTGTGCATCTTATCAGATCACCATGGCTTAAAATTAGAATTCAACATCAACACAAATTGCAGAAACCCCACAAACTCATGGAAATTGAACAATGCTCAATTGCATCACTCCTGTGTTAAGGAAGAAATAAAGAAAGAAATCAAAGACTTCCTAGAATTCAATGAAAATGAAGGCACTACATAACCAAACCTATGGGACACTCTGAAAGCAGTGCTAAGAGGAAAGTTCATAGCACTAAGTGCCCACATAAAGAAATTGGAGAGCCGGGTGTTGGTGGCGCACGCCTTTAATCCCAGCACTCGGGAGGCAGAGGCAGTCGGATCTCTGTGAGTTCGAGGCCGGGCTGGATCAACAGCCTCCAAAACAATACAGAGAAACCCTGTCTCGTAAAACAAACAAACAAACAAACAAAAAACCACCACCAACAACAACAAAAAAAGAAACTGGAGAATAGACACACTAGAGATTTAACAGAACACCTGAAAGCTCTAGAACAAAAAGAAGCAAACTCACCCAGGAGGAGTAGACACCAGGAAATAATCAAGTTGAGAGCTGAAATCAATAAAGTAGAAACAAAGAAAAAATACAAAGAATTGATGAAACAAAGAGTTGGTTCTTTGAGAAAATCAACAAGACAGACAAACCTTTATATATCCTAACAAAAAGAGAAGGAACA